TCTTAGTCTTCAATTTTTGTCCTTTAGTCATATTTTGCCTTAGTTGTGGAGTGGCAACAATGCTTTTCATTAGCCTTATTATAGTTTTAAAGCTTCTTTCTGCTCCCTTCTTTTTGAAAGCCCCTGCCCCATGATGACAGATATTCATTTTGGAGGATTATACTTTGTATGTTCAGTGTAATACACTAGCTCTATAACTCACACTGAACAATAACTATTTTAATCTTTCCAACACTCAGCATAAATTATCTCCTCCAATATGGCTGCCACCTAGGGCAGTCAAGGTGTTGCCTAGCAACACGCCTATGTGACCATTCTCAACTTTCTTGAAGTTCTCCTATGGGTGGGTTACTGAGGAAACTTTGGCTTCTCTTAGGCAATGGCCAGCTTGGAGCCCTGAAGAGCCCCAGTAAGTTGCCAGATGGTTTAAAAAAACAACAACCCAAAACACTTAGTGCCTTGTGTTGCAGAATTTCTTAAATTATTTTAAAATGCTAGTGCTGTTGTGCAGGGGAAACTTCTTCCTCTTTCCTGCTTTCTATTTTTGCTGGTTTTCTTATCAGTTTTTAGGGTACCTCAAATTTTGTGGCTGAAATCTGAGCCTGGGGGACAGGCCCTTACTCTGGCACTGGACTAGGTGTATTATGGAACGTTGGTGGCAAAATGAATATCTGTCATGTGTTTGTTCTCTCCTACTCTCTCCAGGGGGAGAAAGGTGTGCAATGGACTGATCTGTTTTGGAATTTATACGCACATTGCGGTATGTTTATGTTAGAGGAGGCAAATTCAAAGAGCTGCACATTGCACTTGGAGCAGAAGGATGGACCTCAATTCCTGTGGGAGTTCCTTCTACAATCTTGGGCCAGCTCAAGCCCAAATAGATAGACAGTACAACAGACTGTGTTTTTCACAGGGGGTATGTATGCCTTGCAGTGGAAGGAGCCATGTGTCTCAAAGGGAGTGCGCATGCTAGAGTATGTCAGAGAACCAGGCATGTGAGGGATGAGTACATATGGGGTGGGATGTTTAATGTGGGAAGAATGGGAGTCTCTGCTGTGTGACAGTGCACAGGGGAGTACCAGGAAGTGGAGGTGTGTGAGTCTAAATGGGACAAAAGGCCATCAGCAGCCGCCTCACTATGGTCATGCTTTCTCCATTCTTGGTGGGCAGGGAAGCTGGCTAGCTGCTGCCTCCCACTAAATATTCTCTCAAGCAGAGCCTGGTAGTGACGATCACTTCCTGTATCCCTTGCTGACCAGTAATCATGCTTCTAGGCAAAATCAAAACAAGTTAAAGTGAACTGTTATTAATGTGAACAGGAATCGCTAGGTCAAATTCTATGACCTGTGCTATGTGGGAAATCAGATTAGATGATCATGAATTAAATAAAACTTGATTTTTCACATTTAGTTAATCACCCCTGGGGCATGTTCAGAATATCTGGCCAAAAGTCTTTTGATGCAAGCCAAGTGTTTTCTTCAGCTGAGAAAAACAAAAGTTTCTGAGTGGAAAAATGGTAAGTGGACATGCTGCTTAAGGTTGCTCTATAAATACTATCCCTGCCCACAGAATATGCAAAATTTAATCTTATTTATTATTACATTTGTATAATTGGCACAATGTTCTTGTTGATACCGCTCTGATTCGATCTGTGGTTGATGACTTTTTTCATTATAGGGGTTCCAGTGACTATATCTCAATATCTTTGGTCATTCTTTTACTTCATTTGTTTTCAGTGAACACATTCCCTCTGGTTATCCATCAAGTAATAAGCTACAAAACACAAGGTTATACGTATCTGAGACAATTTCCAGCAGGTGCCAATGATAAGGTATTAAAATTAAACATTCTTTACCGTGCATGCTCAGTTGAATCAACTGATTACTATATTAGATGATCATATATCCTATAAGTATGATCATTATATATACTATACTGGGGTAGGCAACCTATGACACGTGTGCCAAAGGCGGCACGTGAGCTGATTTTCAGTGGCATTCACACTGCCCAGGTCCTGGCCACCGGTCCGGGGGGCTCTGCATTTTAATTTAATTTTAAATGAAGCTTCTTAAACATTTTAAAAACCTTATTTACTTTACATACAACAATAGTTTAGTTCTATATTATAGATTTATAGAAAGAGACCTTCTAACAATGTTAAAATGTATGACTGGCACGCAAAACTTTAAATTAGAGTGAATAAATGAAGACTCGGCACACCACTTCAGAAAGGTTGCTGACCCCTGTACTATACGTATATCCTATAAGTGTATGTTTATAGTGAGTGAGGATATATAATATACTGTGCATAAAGGGGGTGGGGGAGTGATATCTAGGAAAAGACTGGCCACACTAACAAAGTTTTCTAGTCATTGAACATTCTCTCATTATCTTTATTCATAGATGAAGCAGTGCAGGCAATTCAGCCCAAATTCACTTGCATCAACGAAAACCTCCATTAATCCCATATGCCTTTATACAAGGAAATGGCAGGCTTGTCTTGTATGCCCACATTGGTACCCGACCCCATCAGGACAACGTGAAGCAAAAATCCCTAGTAAAGCTGTTCTAATTAGCATCTTGATTTACTTGTTAGAAGTAAATACAAGTATTTTAGTAATCTAATAGTTACGTTCACTTTGGAGAGAATGGGCCTAATTTTGATCTGGCACTGGTACCTAAATCAGGAATAACTCAACTGAAGTCAATGGAGTTACACTGGTGTAAAACTAGTGTGAGATCAGGATCAGGCCCAATGCACTCTGATATGGGAAACGTTCAAATACTATACTTTTAAACTGTGAAGAAAAGATAACTGACTACAAGTGGTCCATGTGGTTTGCAGCCACATTTCAGCTTTTCAAAAATCATTGTACAAATGCATTAAAGCAACAACCATGGTTAAGCCCTGAGTTCTTTTTTTGGTGTGGGTGGGGGAGGGGGTTGCGTCAAATATGGCCCTGTTTAATATAGGTTAGCCTAAGATTTTTCTGTCTTGTGGACTGGTTTCACAGAGTTGGCTGCAGAAACATATTAATAACTGGATCTCTTAGGCAATCGCAGAATACATGGCATAATGCCAACATAGAAGGTCCTTCCAAAGGGCCAGATCCTTAGCTGTTGTAAATAGGTGCAGCTCCATTGATTTCAACAGAGCAGTGTCTATTTACAGTAGCTGAGGATGTGGCCCAAAGTGTCTAGTTAGGGCAGTGAATTTAGAACCAACACAAATAAATATTCCCTTAGGAAGCACAGAGCCAGCGTATGGCATTCTTGGCTGCTTGAACAGATTAAGTCCATTTCTGTGTCTGGATTTTAGAAAGGGTTTTACAATTGTGTGATCATTAGCAATGTTTATAGCTACGCAGGCTAAAATACAGGTGATCACTCGCTTCATAGAACACAAATCACATACTTCAGGCTGTAAAGTGATCGCCTGCAAGGCCAGGAAGAAAATAGCACCATGTACTGCATTGCAATATTGGTTGGGTGCTTTATGAGGTCACGCAGGGTTTGCCTTGTTGCCCAGTCACCCAGTTTTGAGAGATCCTTTTGTAGCTTTTCGCAGTCTGCCTGGGTTTTAACTATCTTTAGTAATTTTATATCATCTGCAAATGTTGCCACCTCACTGTTTACTCCTTTTTCCAGATCATTTATGAATCTGTTGAATAGGACTGGTCCCAGAACAGATCCCGGGGGACACCACTATTTACCTCTCTCCATTCTGAAAACTGACCATTTATACCTACTCTTTGTTTCAATCAGTTACCAATCCATGAGAGCACCTTCCCTCTTACCCCGTGGCAGCTTACTTTGCGTAAAAGCCTTTGGTGAGGTTCAGAGGGGACTGTCCTAAATTTTAAATAATGGTTTATAAAACCCTTTTAAAAATGGACAAAATACTGAACATGTACAGGGAGAATTAACTACAAAACCACTGCTTGATAATTAACCAGTTTTCTGTTGTCAGATACATTTGTTTAAATACTATTGTATTGTCATCTGCAGCAAGTAGCGGCTCAAACTGCTGAAGTCTTGTTAGACACCACCTAGAGTTTTTCCCTATACGAGGTTAAGTACCTAATCACCTGATGGATGAGTAAAGAACAAGTTCTTTCCTTTCACCTTTCACATCTTACACATGAGTGTCAAGCTACCCTGCAGTGGCGTAAGATCCTGCGTACCTATCTCAGGCACAAACTCCAAATTGGTTGCAAGTTCTGTATTCAGATGTTACCAGCTGTAAACTCCTCAGGCACTATAACAACGTTAACATGGAGTCACAGACAATCCTCTTGGGTACTCTGATCCATCTCACCACCCAGGTAAACCTGCCTTTGTGATAAATTCAGATTACTCCCAGTCCCAAAAGCCTAGTCACTTAACCCAGCTCAGTTGCATGCTATATCTTACACCAAAGACAATCCGTGTAACCAATCCTACAATCAACTATCTAAAGCTTTATTAACTAGGGAAAGGAAACAAGAGAGTTATTTACAAGGTTAAAGCAGGTAAACATATACACACAAATGAGTTACAGTCTTAATTTTCAAAAGGTGATAGAAGCTTCTATAATAAGCAAGCTCTATATGTCCCTTAGGGCTAACCCAGGCTAAGCTCGGGGGATCTTTTGCTTATGTTTAGTAATCCTTGCCTCTCACGGTCCAAGCGGTATAAATATATAGTTCCTCCTTGTTAGGGCTTTTTATTCCTTCCCCCCTTCTGCTACAAGTTGCAGATACTGGCATATTGCCTCTTCATGGGGGCTGAGAGTGGAGAGAGCAATCGACAAAGTCTTTTGTCCTGTCATGTTCCACAATCGTTTGTCTGGTGTCGAAGGGCCTTTTTCGCACACCTTCTGTTGGAGCCTATTGTTTCACACTAGTTCATGCTTCTCGCCTGTCTGGTGATTTACACAGTTACAGAGGCTTATCCTGTTGACTTTAGTGACCCGTTTAGCCGCCAAAACCATAGAGAGTACGACCCTGGCTCTTCAGGGCCTAAACCACACCCATAGCCATTACAGTCTTTCGCTTGGCATGTTCAGCGTAAGTGACAGCATCGCAGATCACGTTCTCCACGAACACCTTCAGCACTCCCCGGGTCTCTTCGTAGATCAACCCCGAAATACGCTTCACCCCACCGTGTCGAGCCAAGTGACGAATAGCTGGCTTGGTAATACCTTGGATATTATCCCAAAGCACTTTACGATGGCGCTTGGCACCTCCCTTCTCCAAGCCTTTACCACTCTTACCGCCACCAGACATGGCGAAATCAAGTCACACACAATGATAATGCAAACGCTCACCTTACAATATGAGATACAGATGTTAAGTGAGATTAATGCATGCGGCAACATACAAGCATTCAATACAGACTAAAGACTAAGCACATTTCTATAACTCTAATACCTGTTTTGACCATACTAACACACAGGTGAGCCAGACTAATTCTAGCTCTGTATTTGTCAGTGTTCAGTTGAGACATGGGGCCCTTGGCATGAGCTGGCACCTGGTTTGCCAGCGTCACAATAAGAAATCAACTGCTGCTCTGCAGTGGAATTATTGCACACTGTAAAACCAACTGTTTGTATTTCTGGTCTGTAAGAGATCATAAGCAAAGCCATCACCTGATGAGCAAAGTACAGCTCTGCTTATGTTAACTTCATGAGCTTGGTTTCCCCTCACGGATGCAGGGGCTGTTTTCCAGTGCTCTGCCAGGGGAAGGCGGCTTTAATTTACCATTGGACTTCCATAGGAATCCCACTAGTGGAGCTTCCCCACGAGAGATGTGGAATAAGCATCTCTCCTGGGTGTCCTGACCGCATTTGGAGTTGTGCTAGCCGGTGCCACTAGCAGAGCTTGCGGATGCCTTGGACCACTGCAACCTCCCTGGACCCCATCCTTAGGTGGATTTTCCATGTCTAGAGGCCCAAAGTCCAGGTCGCTCCAAGAGACACAGCCCCATATCTCAATGATTTTAACCAAAACAATATTTGAAAATGCAGGACTTGCTATTAAATTCAAAAGGGCGGCCTGATCCTCTGAGATACTCAGTGCCCTGGGAGTTAAGGGCACTTCTCACCTTTCAGGAAATGCTCAGCATCTCTCCGGATTGAGCCCGAGTGAGGTCAGTGTGGGCAGTCTGGTTTAAAAAAATCAACCCTCCCATCCACGCCAATCAAACAACAACAATGAAACTGAAAAGAACCACCCCAAGGTGGATATGCCTAAATTGAGCGACCACATGATTGCACTGCTGTGTAACGCTTGCCCTTCCTCAGCCTGTCCCCTTCCTACCTTTTGTCATCCTCCCATTTTGTCATCTCTAGTATTTAGACTGTTTGCTTTTGGGGACAGGTGCTGTGGACCAAATTCACAAGCATAAGGAGGTCTAAGTTAGACACACACCCATGCTTACTTTGAGAGCCATATTTTCACTTAAACCTGCTCTACTGAGGTGCAAGAGGCTCTAAAGCAGTGGCTTTCCACCTTTCCAGACTACTGTGCCCCTTTCAGGAGTCTGATTTGTCTTGCATACCCCTACGTTTCACCTCACTTAAAAACCACTTGCTTACAAAATCAGACATGAAAATACAGAAGTGTCACAGCGCACTGTTACTGAAAAATTGCTTACTTTCTCATTTTTACCATATAATATAAAATAAATCAATTGGAATATAAATATTGTATTTACGTGTCAGTGTATAGTATATAGAGCAGTATAAACAAGTCATTGTCTGTATGAAATTTTAGTTTGTATTGACTTCGCTAGTGCTTTTTAATGTAGCCTGTTGTAAAACTAGGCAAATATCTAGATGAGTTGATGTACCCCCGGGAAGACCTCTGTGTGCTCCCGCGGGTACGTGTACCCCTGGTTGAGAACGACTGCTTTGAAGGAGTGGAACTTGCCCATTGTGGAGCCAGAAGAAGGAGTTAGTTAAAGCCGTCCCAAACATCATTTAACACCTCACTTTTTATAAGCAGGCAAAAGCAGGGCTACGTGATCTTAAGTGAGTGTAAAGGGGTTGACACCATCTTACACATCACTCTGAACTTGGTCCCATATTTTTCAGTCTTCTGTGAAGTTCTTAGTAAACTTTTGAGTGCTATAAAATAGCTAACTGTAAGTCAAGCAATGCTCAAGTGTTGATGGTCTTGAATGAAGTAGATTGTCTTGCCTTATCTCTGGTAGATTTGAAGTGGTCCCATAGAAGAGCCAGACTTGTTATCTCCCAATGATGTGATTTCATTTGCTCCCTGCAAAAGTGTAGGGCCAGGATAGCTGGGTTAGATACATTTCTACTGCCCCCTCTTTGGTAGGCAGCCTGCCATGGGCCTGTCTCAGAGATCTCTGGTTTTCTTGGCTTGGTCTGTGACACAGAGCCCCCCCTCCCTCGCCTGGCCCCATGACCCAGTCCACTTTAAGGGCTGTGGATAAGGGCCCCTATTACAAAAGAACTACTTATTATTCAATGAATTGGGCATCTTTGCTGAGGATGGGCTCCTGGAATTGGGCAAATTCCATGTACATTTGCCTAATCCTGGGTTTGATACAGTTCCTTGGCATGTACAAGGCTGATCCTATGAGTCAGGCCATTGAACCCCTCCCAGCAGTTTCTGGATAAATAGAGGGCTTTAATTTCCAGCATCACAGAGCTCACATAAGCGTCACATCCACCCACGTCCTATGGGGATTGGTCCTGCTTTGAGCAGGCAGATTGGACTAGATAACCTCCTGAGTTCCCTTCCAACCCTGATATTCTATGATTCTATATGCGCAGGAAAGGGTGTTATGGGAAGGGAGGTGGAGTCATTGGTGAGATCAATCATGTGTTTCACTCTCTCTCAAACTGTTGCTCTAAACTGAGATTATTGAAACTTTATCCTTGATGATAGCCCCGCGTCCTCTAGCGTGTGCATTTCTGTATGCTTGATAGGGTGGCACAGCTCCTAAAGGCTACCCTCCAGTGGGCCTGTTCTCCTGGGCTAGGCTGTGTGCATGAGTATACTCCTCTGCTCACCGCGTCAGGTGCAAATAGCTGTTTTGCAGCCTTAGGGGGGCAGATCCTCAGCTGGTATAAATTGACTACAAGGGAGCTATGACAATTTATACCAGCAGCTGAAGACCTGCCCCAGCACAGTGAAGCAGCCCTGCTCCTGAAAAAGACTGCAAGGCTGTTTTGCCCTGCTCCTGCCCCTGCCCCTTGGGCAGTCATTCGCACCAGTGCACTGCATGTGGGAAGTGTTCCCATTCCGATGTAGTAGCATTTTACATCCAGTTGGCACTGGTGTAAATGAGGAGCCCAGGGGCTGGGCAATGGAGAACCGGGCCTGGCCTGTTGCTCCAGCCCCGCCACCAGTGTTTCTGGAGTCCGTAAAGCCTGCTTGGCCTAATGCAATGCTGTGGAGCAAGCATGCCAACGGCATGTAAAAGAACACCCTCCCCTGAAGCCTTTCAGAACTCAGCAGCCTTGGGAGCGTGTTAGCTTCCCTGTTATATCTGTCAGGAGATGAATAAGAGCCCCATCCAGGCCATTTACCCTTCCCATGATCTGTCTTGAGGCAAACAAGCGCCCCATCCAGGCCGCTTAGTTCTCCCCTACCTCAGAGCCAGACTGCGTCCCTAGCTCACCTCACCAGGCCAGATCCACAGACAGAGGGATGCACCTTTTTTTTTTTTTTTCTGGTGTGGCTTTTTGCTTTTAAAGGTTGCTGCTGACAAATCTATCTATTTGGGGCAAATTGTCAGTGAGAAACTTCCGCTCGAACTCTTTGGGACAAAACTGGTTCTTTGAAAGGGTAAATCCCATTGCATGAAGGGCTGAACAATGGGCAAATGTGTTGCTGCCGCTGCCGCCACTGCCGCTGCTGCTGCTGAGGCTGGGGCTGTGACAAAGAGCGGATTAATTGGTGCCGCGGCTGACTGGTTCGAGATGGCTCCACTCAGCCTGCGCCGCGGGGAGCCCCATTGACTGGGCCCCGAGTCCCACTTCTCACAAACTCCAAACAAAAGTCAATTTCTTTTTTATAAGGCGGGGGAAGAAAAAAAAATCAGTTCGTGTTTGAGCTCGGGAAGTTGACTTGTTGGATTATAGGGCGTTATGCTCTCTCTGTCTGTCTCTCCCATGCTTTAAAGTTGCTTCTCCCCTAAGACAAGAGTGAGAAAAAAAACAAATGAAAGGACAAACACACCATCCATACTGGTGTATGTGTGCATGCCAGCAAACCAACTGGGTCCTAGGGACCTGAGTGTGTGTACTTGTGCATGGGAGATTTAACGTGAGCTCTTGTTTAATGGTGATAAACTTTTCCATATATTATAAGGCCATTCCTGCAGTTTTCTGTAATGCTTTGTGCTCCTTGGATGCAAGGCACTGTATGATGATCATGAATAATAACATGTTCATAGAGGACATCATGGCCTACTACTACTTCTACCATTCTTCGTTTTAATTATGGAGGTTTTCCCATGTGGAAATGGACAATAAGCATTGATTACTTTGTGTCTGACTTCAGTGGTCTCTTTGGCTCACCCCAAACTCCCACTGACTTCAAGGTGAGATTTGGATGTACAAGGAATGCAGGTTAAGTCCCATGGTTGGTTGATTTAATGCATGCATGAAAACTTTGCAACTTATAAAGGAGCAGTCAGAAATAAAAAGAGAGAGAGGTGATGTATCCTTTTCAAATATCGAGCTACATACAGATCTTACTAGACATTTCAGATTCCTGCAGTCGTTCCGTGGTTAAGGTTATCTGGACATATTTTGGGGGTAGTTAATCACTTTTATGGTTGTGATGATCTCATGACACTTGATACACAATTTCGTCATATTTGGTCCTTCTTTCAGAAAAGGTGATCCTTATAATACCACACATGAAGAAGAGAGACTCTTATCAGATGGTGCTCTCCTCATTAGGGTGATATAATAGCATGATATATGCACACAAATACCAAAAAAAGTTACCTGCAGTTCATTTTCATGTATTTTTTTCTTGTAAGGGAAAATCAGAAATTAGGTTTTTTCCTCCCCCTTTGACCTAGTTATCTGATTTTCCACCTATTTGTGTGCATTGCTCTGACATATAGGGGAAGGCATACTACAACACAAAGTTAGAATTATTCCATTTAAGAGTCTTTAAAATAATATTCTAGACATAATTATTAGTAATCTAAATATTAACTTTGAAGATAAAATATGTATTTGCTATGCTAATAAATTATTACACCTCTACCCCAATATAACGCTGTCCTCGGGAGCCAA